ACACACACACACACACACACACACACACACACACACACACACACACACACACGTGTTCGTTTTATATCCCTGTGGGCACTGTGGATTGACTTCTATTTTTTTTTTTTGGTAACTTTATAGCCTAACCCTGATTATTTACCCTAAAATTAACCTAACGTGCATCTACCTGACCCCAAAACTAACCTAAACTCAATTCACACTTTAGTCCTAAACACACACGCTAAATTAGCCAGGGCTTTGGGCCCCATGATGCATGTTTGGAGATACAGAGAAAATAAGGCACAATGACACTTTGTTTGCGAGAACATTCATCTTTAACTTGTCAGTCGTCTCTAACAGTTTATCAATAAAAGCTCTTTGTGCTGAAATAAAACTGTTTGTCTTCCACATCTAAAGTCTAATAGTTGAGTGACAACGGTTGTTGTTCTGAGACAAGCTTGACATTTAGTCTGTGTCTGCACTTACCTGCACAGCAGCTATTCGTCACAATTGAGCTGAAAGTGTGTGAACCCAAGACATTCACTCAGGGTATTACTGCAGCAATTATTTGTGCTGCTGTTAAAATAAGATTAAGGTGTGAGGAAAGAGACTGTGAGCTGAGTGACAAACCTACCCTGTAAATATACAAGGTTGAAGACAAGTTAGAAAAACATTTTCATTACTGTAACAGTTACCATCATTTTTAAGGAGGTGAAACTTAAACCAAAAAAACACCAAGTGCCGGGTAAAATATGCATCCTTGTTTTCAACATGTTCATATTATTGGTTTTGGTTTCTTTGTTTTCCTCTCCCTTCATATTTAAATGACAGAAACTCAGAAACTTACCATTCCTGTCAACATTCCTTTGACAGGTTCCTGTCAGAAAACATACCTGAAAGGCCTCTGTCGCTGCAGCAGCTGCCATTTCCCATGGCAAAAGTGTGACTGCCATTTAGAAAACGTAGCATTTATTGGTGTGTATTTATCTAAACAGCTCCTGGCTACAATGGCTTACATATGGGACGAGTTCAGAAAAAAAACCTTGACAAAGTTTGACTTCTTACAAAATGTGATTTTATGAGTGTATGAATACAACACAACATATAAAGTAAACAACAAATTAGAAATAAGTAAAGTGTCTATGATGCCCCTCTGGATCAGAAGACACAAAAAATACCAAACAAAGACAAAGATTTGACAAAACACTTGGAAATATTGTTTTGTGCTTTGATTCAGAAACACTATTTTGTAAACATTTCTCAGCACAAAGTCAAGATCTACCAATGATTAGATTTATGGTATAAAAGCCTGAGCAATATTAAGACCTGAAACATGTTTTTTTTTTTTTTTTGCACAAATGAAATCAAATAATATTATACATTAAAAAGAGAACAGAAATGAAGTTTCACATTTCATTTCGGCAAATGTCAATATGACGACAATACACAGAAGCACCAAATATCATGCAGTTAAAGTACCAAAAATAAGGGATTTTAGTGCAAGTATGCAAATTTATGTCATGCCATTGCTTATATGAATGCATGAATGCATGCATGTGCAGTCTGCTATGTGTTTGGTCCCTTTTTCAACATACATAGTTTATATAATAAATTACGATATATAGTTAAAACAAAAGCAAGCTCAAAAATCATTCAACAGAAAAAAATGTTTTAAAAAGTTTGCAATGTTACAACAAAGAAATGTTTCAGTTATGCCATWGTTGAGTTAAATACTTTGATTGTTGTAGCATCCAAGAATATTTGAATAAGTGCTTATGGCTTAAAACAAACTAATTTTGTGTTGACAAATAAAACAAAATATAAGAATAGTAGAACTCAGCATTGTCCTTTTACTCAGGTAATCGCTTCAGCTCGTGTTCAGTTAATAATGCCGTGACATCATCTCATCAGGAGCTGCAGTGGCTCACACGTCTGACCCATCAGTTCTTTAGAGCCATTAAGTGTGATTGAGAGGCCTTATTGGGGTTTGTCACTCTTTACCGCCTTTTCTCATCGCGGCCAACAACTTTGCGTATCCAGGAGCTGAAAGCGGACACTTTGGTGTAAACACCCGGGGACTGTTGTGTCCTGCAGGCGTGACCCCAGGATGTGACCCCGTAAACGACCCAGCCCCCGCCCGGACGCTCACACACCAATGGGCCTCCGCTGTCGCCACGGCAACTGTCCACGTGCCTTTCTGATTGGAYGCTCCCGGCGCAGAGCATGCGGCTTGTGAAGGCACTGTGGTAATGCTGCTGGCAGTGGCGGCGTGGCAGAAGGGACAGGGCAGCTTGCTGCAGGGTCTTTGAGTACGAGCGTCCTGAAACGAGAAGGAGAACGTAGAGTTCAGAAGAGTTCAGGTTGTCATCTGYAAGGATCAGAAAAGGTGGGCAGTGGTTCAAAGTGAAGTGGCCTCATTTTATTTCTGCTGCCATTTGGAAGATCTGCATCCATTTGTATTTTACTGCTTTGAAGGAAAGCTTGTACAGAAACTGCTCATTTATATCAAATTGTCACTTTTCTCAAAATCTAATACCTAAAGATTACGATGATGATATGTTGAAAGTAAAGGTCCCCAAAACTCAAACAGTTGGTGAAATATTTTATCAAATAGCACCTTTAATTAAATTTTTCTAAATTAAACATCTAGTGAAGACACATAAAAAATATGTCCCAATATATTCATTTATACSACTGTAAATACATAAATATGTTGGAACATGAAGACTGAAATACTGAAATGTAAGCTTTATCATTTAGGTGCAACATTTAAATATAAAATTTAACATTTAGTAAAAAAATTTAGAAAAACATAAGAACAGTGAGCTAAACAACAATAAAAAGTTGTTGGRAAATTTTTCAACTAGGGTTTTATATGAAAATGAAAATGTGCTAGTAGCATTATTTTTAAAATTTATGTTCCACTTGGCACCCCATACTACTCACACATTATTTACTGTAGATCAGGGTTATTCAACTAAATTGCTCCGGGGGCCACAGTTGTTACTGCAGGCCAAAAGCACAGGGGCCGAACATCCAGCAATTAAATCATTATGTAAATAAAGCAAGTAGTACAAATATCTGTTACCTTTGAAATAGTTCATTTTGTTGTATTTAATGATGAATATAACATACAGAACCCTACATCAAAAACAAAAAGAACATGTTATGCCTGTTATGTAACACAAATTTTATTTTGACATCTCTGACTTGCCATTTTTTAAAACCACTTTCATAGTTTTATCTTCAGCTGCTTGTAACTGCTTGTAAATAGAAATGGTTTTTAACAGCTTCTAGCCAAGATTCTGATGTTTCTGTAGATACCAAACATGTCTATGTTTAACTAAAAGAACTCATAGTAMTTAAAGTAGAAACCCGGGGCTTTGGCTTAAGAGATGAATGAACAAAATTGGTGGGCCGAACTTTGATCACTCACGGGCCAGATGTGGCCCACGGGCTGCCAGTTGAACAGCCCTGCTGTAGATTTAAATTTTATGAAGATGATAATGGATGAACTAAGTCTGCACAGTCTTCTCCATCTACTGAGACATYTGCAACAGGTTTGAGCAGCCAAGGCGTTCCCAGGTCAGCTGARGTGTCCACATAGTTGGACATGAACACCTTCCAGGGGGCCATCTTTACCAGATGCCTGAACCACACCAACTAGTTCTCCTGGATTGGAAGAGCAGCAACTTTACTCCAAGTCTCTCCAGGATAACCAAACCTCTTACCCTATCTTAAGGAGTCCAGCTACCCTACAGAGAAAAAACAATTTTTAATTTGGTACTCGCCAAAATAGATGTATGTCAGCAGCCTCTCTTAGTACCTCTTTAATTTTGTAAATAGTTGATGTGAGTTTTGCTCTACAGTTAACCTTAGTTTTTTTAATTTTCACTTTATTTCATATACTCATAGTTACAGTTCTTTTCTCAACGGCAGACTGAAGTCAAACAAATTAACAACAATTTTTTTTTCTTAGTCTTGGTGACCACCTAGTGTCATGAACTATCCATGGCAGCTTTGAGTAGTGGGGGTGTGGAAAAATTGCCTGCGTGTGTGATATGAGAAAGGCAGCTAGCCAAACACAAACAGCTGTACACAGCCTGTTGCAAAACATCACAGACTCTAAATAGCCCATGTGCCTGACTTAATGCAGTAAAATTACCCCACCCACAGACACACACACACACTCACACACACACAAACATGCAGATTTTATGTACTGATTCTAAGAAGATTTAAAAACACACTTCACAGCAAGTAGTTCATGCTCTTGACAGTTCGCAGACCCTTGTGTCTGTGTTGCCATGATTAATGACATCAGCAGGTAATTTAAAGATCACTAACAGATGTGTGTCGGTGCACGGGCTCAAAAAAGAACAAGTGCATTTTAAAAGAGCAGCTTAAATTCTCACCCACCTGGCTTTAAAGCTGAACTATAAAAACTGTTTCCCACGGTATTTTTTTAGAAACAAAGCCTCACTGTTATATATTTTTCATTCATTGATATTTATTTATTTTAAATGCTTGACTGTTTTCTGAAATTGTGCCACAAATTCCAAGCTGTTCACTAAATTAAATATTCAGATCCACACACACACACATGCGCACACACATGGTCACCTGTATCTCCCCAGCCAGTAATGTGACAGTTGCTGGCTTGTTTGAGCACTCTCTCTTTCTTCATGGGCAGACAGGCGGGGAGGACATGGCGGCTGAATGACACACACTGTCCCGGCGTCTGGCCCACAGCTCCCAGTGACAGACGAACTAAGGCCAGGTCGTAGTTGTTACTTTGGGAATGGTAGTTCGGATGGAGGACGATACGATCAACGCCATACTCCTCTTCGTACTCCTCGGGGACGAGGGAGTGGTAGTCGCCCACTCTTACTTTGTATTGCTTGGTGCTGTTTCCATACCTGCAGAAATAAAAAAATGGAAAGTTTGTATTAGAAATCCAACTGTTGATTTGTATMCCCAAAGAAACAACATTTTAAGGTYTGATCAAATTTATACCGCAGTACCAAAGCATTCGCTTTCTTGACAGCTTGGACATTTTGAAAACAAAACAATTTTAAATGAGAAATGTATTAGCCTCACATTGTTTTATTTTATAAACAAAAAGGAAACAGTTTTAGTTTAAAGGGGCAATATCATGTAAAAACAACCTTTTTTGAGTTTTATATCATGTTATAATGTTATACTCTCATAAAAAACAGGTCCAAAGCCTTGCTTTGACTCATTCATGCATGTTTGAGAAATCCTGCAGCGTTTTTAGGCAGCCATGCTGAGGAGCAAAACGACAGGTGGGGACCGGAAACGCCTTTTGGCACCAGAAACGCCCCTGGGACGTGTCTTTAAGCCGAACTTCCTCATCACGGAGCACCGCCCCCCTCCCCACACCCCGTCCATGACTCCTGCAGGCTCTCGGGTGAAACTGAAAGTGAAACTTAAACTGTCTGCTGAGCTCCACTACTGCTCACTCAGTGAAGCTCTTTTCAGATTCAAAATACCTTTGAGGAAATGTATTTTCAGATGCCACGTAAACTGCATCATAGCAGCTCACCCCCCGCCCCCTGCTAGAAAAGCTAGAAAAGAGTTTCAGACTAAGATCGTCTCAAGTGAGAAAGTGACAAAGCTGTTAAAAATGAAAACAATGTTTTAGATAATCTCATGGAAGATCATCTGACGTCACGTCAACTACTACCACATAAATCTCAATTGTGCTGGCAAAATGAGTCACAATAATAAAAAATAAATCTCGAAAAAGAAAATATTTATCTTCTACAAAATTTCCCATAATCATCCCCAGTTTGATGGAATTTTGAACCAGGCTAGCAAGAAACTGAAGACCCAAACTGAAGCTAAACTGAGAAGGAAAGATGAACAAACCCAACAGCATRAAACAAACATTTTACCAGTCTCATATTTTAAAAATAAAGCCATGAGAATGAGACTCGGGCTGAGAGAGGTGTAGGGTGAGTGTCAGTGAAAAGGGGAACGACAGAAGAGAGGAGGAGTGAAAGAGGTAGAACTTTGGATTGTGCCAAGTCTCTGTGTCAGGTTACACAGCGATTCCAGAAAGATCTGCTGACAAGTTGGTGCCAACGCATTTCTGGCAGAGCAAGAACACTCCTGACCAACMTTTGAAGTCTGCCAACACGCATATATTTATAATAATAATAAAAAAAAACTACACTCCCCCGTTCCCCTGGGTGTGGTGGGTAAAAGCCTGAAAGCAAATAAAGATCAAAACACATTTATACCTTATTGCTAAAAACATTTATATTACTATTAGCAGGACCTCAGCTGTCCATCTAAACACTGAAATAGATTTAATGTGTTCAGTATATGYGACCTCAGATGTCAGAACCTTTTCCGTCTATTAACGAGAGYGTTAATAATCCAGTAATATGACTTTGAAAAGCTTCTTGKGTGTATCGCATATTATTTTGGTTATCGTACGTGAAAAGTGACACAGTGAAGTCGGAAGTTCATATTTTGGCCTGTGTGCTCTGGCTTGCATATGAACAAAWTAATTTTGGAAGCTGTCATAGCTGAGGCTACACAGCTTGAAGCATGAAGGGCTGATATGTGATCACACCGCCAGGAGAATAACCTTCAACTGTTTGACATTTACAGTTTCAGTGTTTTCTAAAGGAAAAGGAAAGTCAAATCTCATGTGTGCCTTCTAATACATTATAATAAAGTGATAATTAATGACCTTGTAATTTCTATTACTATCGTTATTATAAGAGAGCTGTTTACTCCTGGTTAAGACCACACCATTTTCCATGCAGCATGTTTCATTTTAGCTACCCGTATAAAATTAGATGACCGAATCTCAAGCAAAACTGWTGATCAAACCTGTCCTCAAAATTTTTCTAACTCATTTGTGTAGCTGTCATTAAATGTGAATGATAATAAATTACACGTTTGGTAATAGGTATGTACATAGCTTTGGAGCAACAACAAACAGTTTTAATAATTATATTTTTGTTAGCACTGAACGAGCGCCAGTCAGACGCCAATTATTTCACACAATGTCCTTCATACAATGGATCAGTCAATCAAATAGTAAAAGTGTTTAATATAGAATGGGAAGCCTGAGGCRGTGTGTGTGCTTCATCTCAGTCATTACACACATAATACCTTATGATTACTACATATGATCCTTAACAATTACTTGTTTTAATGTAGCCACAACCTCATTTTAAYCTTTTGATGACACCAATACTGACATGCTGAATACACATGTTTGACACCCACAGCACAGACAGGTTTTRGTGAAATAAAGGCCTGGCATTCCTTGATGGAACGTGTCACCTGCYGCCTTATATGCCAACATATCAGATCAAATAAAATGTGAAATGATGTGTTGCAGCCATTCTAATTAAACACTGAGAGTAACTTAATCTGATACCGTAAGACGTCAAGCACAGAGTGCAGTAAGGGTTGTGAATGACTTCCATCTACAGCAGCATATGATTTTAACTCAGTGTCTGCAGAACTAACGAGGGTGTGACCATTGTTGTGTTGTCCGTAAAACTTGCTCTACACATACCTGTAAAATTAAGGAAAGTCTGTGTAAATTACGGAAAATCTGTACAACTTGACATGAATGGTGTTGAGAATGTCTTACCCATGTAAAATTCGAGCTCCTTATTTCWAAAACTGATTTATTCATAGCTATTATGATCTTAATAAACAGAAGTTTATTATGATCATTTAACTGTGGCGGCCATCTTGACTTGAGTTGGCTCCAAACCAACTGAAGCGCATCCAATAATTATTTCCTGAAAGTTTAATTTAAATCCACAGTGTGGTTAATGATCAGAGGTATGTAAAGTACTTTAAAGAAATAACTACATAAAAGTAAAAATGCCTTAACAGGAAATGACTTAGGTTAAAAAAAAGAATTTCACTGATAAGTAAAAGTCATAAAACTTCTCATAACAAGCGGGAAAGCTAAAGTAAAAGTGCTTTTACACACTTTTTAAGAAATGAAGTGTTAAATTTACCAAACTGGTTCCACTACAACTCGGTTTAGTGGAAGCAGTTGATAACTTGGTTAAGTAAATTCAATACTTCATATCAGTGCTTAAGCAACTCTTCATGAGTTCCAGTCATATTTAAAGTTGTAACATGTAACTACCAGTAGATGATATATCTTAAAATAAATAAGTAAAAGTATCAGTTTTATGTTTTGAATGTAACAAAATAAAAGTAAAAGTTACGATAAAAATACTTGGTAAAATTACAAATCCTCAAAAAATTACTTAAGTACTGTAACGTACTAAACATACTTAGTTACTAAACACTTCTGTTCATGAGATATATTGCTAACAGACAAATAGAGTTGCCTCTAAATATTTATTGGAACTTTGAATGAAAATCTTGTGCATTCTGTTAAAGCTCAGATTATGTGTTGGGAATCAGTATCAGCTACAACCACACCAAAATTTAAACCATTATCTGTGAAACTGACTGATTGGTAGCAATCTTTGGGTTTTAGGTCAGTTGGCTGTAGCAGCCATCTCGGGCTGTAGATGTAAATCTAATGAAACAATTCTGGAAAAGTTGCATTAAAAAAATCTTCACCTAGGAACAAGATACAGTATTTTGCAGACACATATACTGCCAAAAACATCTTTGTGTTTTACCTTTCAGAAGCATTTATGTATTAAACAGTTTCAGGCTTCCTATACAACAGGTGTGTGTGTGAGTGAAGGTTTAATGTTGACCTTTTGAAGCAGTGCGCCGACGTGAGGACCCAGCACGTGTCGATGAGAGTCGCTCCGCACACCAACCTCCCGTCCCCTCGAGATCCTCGCAGACGAATGGCTGCTTGCCACGGCCAGCCACCCCTGYAAACATCAACCCGCACAAACATGCACACAGACACACAAACAATTAGACAACTGCATAAACAACCTTAAACACACACCAAATATAGACTACTGTCTTCTAGTTCTCAGACAGCACTAAAGAAATATTGACTCGAAATGGGATATCTCTGTGGTATAAAACCGCCGCCTCTGGTTTGTGCATCTGAATTCACATCAACAGAACCATAAACAGTTTGTCATTATTGCAACATATGTTTCTGATTTATATTTCTGGGGATAACAGTAAACAATAACATGGGTGGCAWTGAGAAGTTTAAACATGCACTTAGATTGAACTTGAGCACTCACCTGCAAAATAAGAATTTTATTWGTAAATGCCTCTTTTTGTTTGACTCACTTTTTATAGTAAATATTCAAAGCAGGTTGAAAATTAACTTTGTTACTTGTCAAAAAGTAGTGTTGCAGGTAACAAATAAAATAGGCCTGTATGTACATTTTKCCCAAGATTGTTGCTGTCACTGTTTTTAATTGTACTTTATTTGTCTTTTGCTTATTTCTAMAGCTCAACAGTATTTATTCATTTGTTGGACTTTCATGCTTTTTTTCTAACATGTAAATTTAAAATGTTCCAAAAAAAATGCAGTTTTTTGTCTTCTCGTACACATTAGTATCTTTTCATTTATTTATTTATTTATTTATTCTGGCTACACACTTCTGCTCTCACATGAGAGGTTTAGCAATTGGATGTCCTTCCTGACATAATCTGGCTTCAAACCTGCAGCCTCAGAAAGAAAAGACAAAGTGTAATTGATCACTGATCTACCAGGGCCCCTAAATCAGGCACATCATTATGAACATGATAATTAATATTTTTATATATGGGTAAAAAAAGAAAACTAACAAACAAAAAGAAAAAAAACTTTCTTGCTGTGTCACAAACATTTAGAAAGCTCAAACGAAAGTCCTCAAACACTGGTGTTGTTGGACTAATGTACAACCCTCGTTTGCACGAGTGGAAACTTATTTTCCTGGAACTTTAAATCAGTCGTCTCCCATTTGCAACTTTCAGTCTCGAAATGTGGCCACGGTCTGCGACTGGCTTCCTTTGTTCTGTTATTAATTCCATCTGTCCCCTGCAGCTTACCTCAGAGAGTTTTCTCCTCCTATGATTCGGCGCTGGCGAGTGTGTATGAGCCGCAGACCACAAATTGAGTTGACAGGATCTGACGGAGACAAAAGAGGAACAGTTGGATGTGTAATGTGTGAGTGTGTGTGTGGAAGGGTAACGATCGCTATACCATACATTTCAGCTCGGATGTTACACCTATTAAATATTTAGACTGGTCCAAAGAAATGATGTTGGAAACTTATCTTTCACTGTGACATCTGGGGGTGAAATTAAACAAAATAAAAAAATAAAATAAAATAAAATAAATAGAGGTGGTTTTATAGTCAAAGTGAATGGGGTGGTAAAATGCGCAGTAAGCCAAGGAAAGCACGTGTGCAGGCAACAGATAGCATTGTTTGACTCTGTTCTGATGTGTTATGGACAGAATGAAGCAATAACACTGCTTAAACATTTTACCATCTGGACATATACTGGAGAAACATGCTCAGAAAAACCCCAGACTTTCTGCTAAACATCTTATCTTCTAACRTTTCTCATGAAATCTTTACTGCATTTGACAAAATGGCAGTGTTTGTTAAACACATCAAAGTTTCTGTAATGCTCCAAGTAAACGAAAAACGCTCGATTTGTTTTCAAAAAAAGATTAAATGCGGTAGGTCTGACCTTTTTTTAAACTTTTTTTAAAGTGGGGTTGTGTGAAAAGGTTATAAACAAATAATATCTTACCTGAGGTAGATAGCTATTTGAACCACCTCAGTTTGGGAAAAAAGAGTTCATTATTGACAGATTGATATGTTAATGGTGAATCCAAACAGCACAAACAACAAAGTGAAATTTGGTTTGTGCTAATGCTATTTTTAATCTTTATATCGCCATCAAAAAACATTAAAACCACAGACTGGAACACGAGACCTCAAAATCAAAACAAAAACAAACTGTAACTGCACATTCAATGCACGTATATTTGCAATTCTGGCAATGTTGCACACATTTTATATCTGATTGTTATTTCTGATCTGATTGTTGTTGTTGTTGTTGTAAAAATTTTGAAATCTTTGAGTATTATTGTTGTTTTTCTCTATTATCTACATTTGTTTTGGATAGACCGGGACAATGGGTACAGAATTTCGTTCCACCACACATATGTGTGTTGCGAATGACAATAAAACTTCCTTGAATCCTTGAAAAAGGCATCACTTTTTATGACAGAATTCTTAGAACATTCCAACAGGAAGTGCTTTGAGACGCTTCAGGGATCTGTTGCAACTATTTTACCTTTTCCGCAGAACCCCACTTCCAAACCCCTGATTGTTTTAAGGTAAACCCAATCCCGACTATTACACTGACCTTTAACCTCTTTCTTGCTGTGCTGCGAAACACCGTAATCGCAGATGACCCCGGCGTCCTCACTGTGGCGGCAGTTGTGCGTGCCAGGCGTCTGTTTGATGCAGTCCGCCAGCGCACGCTCCTCACCGGTACACTTCACGTTGTCCACATGGATGGGGCCCGTTCCTTCCCCAAAGTACGCCATCACGCGGGCCTTTGCGACGCCACTGGGGTGACAAGACAAGCATTTCAAGCTTTTATGTGAAAGAAGTACATTTATACAATTTAGAGAGACGACAAGAGGTGCTGCGGCTGAAAATCATTGACCTTTAGATGCCATCCATTTTTTTAAAGAGATGTGTGAGTTGATGACATGCTGGCTTAGATGTCATGATGTGACACAATCCAGGTCAAACACTTTTACAATCTGATATTGTATCCGAGGCAGTTGTATGAATTGTTCACCTCTTTCTTTAACTTTGCAAACTGATCTCACGTAGGGTTCGATAGGTTGTGGCTGTGAATGTGAAAGCTGTGACGGTGATTTTAATTAAGATCGATAGATAACAGAAAGAGAAGGTCTAACATTGCGTCTCTGGGGTACAACAAGTGACCAATCTCATAACCTCAGTCATCTGTTGGGATGCTTATTGAGATATTTAGTGTTATATCTGTGTCTCCAATGGCTCCCCGAGCACTTCTTAGCACGCAGAGGGTGACCCTTTACATCACTTGGAATTCAGCCTAAAAAACTGACATCGTCTCTGCTCCACGTGTTTCTGTAGCAACACTCAGTGGYACTACAACAATTAAATGTAACACAGACTGCTTTAAATTCAAAACTTCAACTTTAACCATTCAGGACAGCTTGTTTTGTTTGCTTTTAGACACCTTTTTCTGTGAAATAATTGTAAAACTTTGCAATAGCTAATGCAAGCTGCAGCCATGGAGAAATCAGTAGCATAGATCATGTAATAAAGATCTGGACCAACTAAATATGTTTTTTTTTAAGTTAGTTATGAATACTCATGGTAAGAAAACCACAGATCATACATGCAATGCATAATATTATTCTATGAAGCTAAAAATAAAATGTAACCAAGGTGCAAAGCAGCTAACTAAAATAACGGTGATAAATTAAATATACTCTATGTGTGATTCTGCATTTCACAAGCTCTGAAACCCCAAACCCAGTGCTGTTTTTAGATCTAATTTGCAAGTTAAAGCCAACAAATATTGAACAATCCTAAAGGGATATTTGTTCTTTCCAGAAATTTCATCTATTTAATGTTGAACTGATCCTCTTTTTACTAACTGGGTTAATAAACAGCACAGCAGAAACATGCAGATGTCTAAAAACAGCTGCTTTCAGGCCCAGGCCTTCCTTGCAATGGAATTTGCCTGCATGTAAAGGTTAATTAATGATAATTCTCCATTTATTTTTYATACCTGTTTTATTCCAAAACAGGATGCTGCTCAGTCTCAAAATATCCAAAACATTTTGGTACACTGAGACGCATAGTAGTCCGGATGCCTTTTAATGTAATTTATATGGATCCGCACATGTCAGAGTAGATTTTACTTTATTGCCTTCATATCCAAGTCTTTGCCTTTGGAGACTAGTCACATAATAAGTTGTCACCACACCCAGCATGACACAAACTGATGATCTGAACATGGCGTTTACACACCTCGGACGTGCTTCCTCTATCTCGCCTACATTTATGCACTCCAGATGTGYCATTCAAAGAGTTTGTGTCACAAAAAACAAAAAAAAGAAACAAGAAGAGCAACTAAGGGGCCTTTTTCTGAAGGCGTGATGAGAGATAAAATGAAGACAGGTTGTTCTGATTTAGAAAGGTCTCACAAGATGGGTAAAAACAATATTGAATTGGCAAATCTGTCAGTCAAAAACAACAACAACAACAATATTTTATGTCATTTAATTAGTTGCTAGATCTTATTACACTTTACAAAGATCCAGATTAAAATACAATTAAATGTGGGAGCAGAAAAAAAACACCAAAACTTATATACTTTTTATTATTATTAAAATCAAGTATGAAAAATCTAATTGAGATATTGAATTTTAGCTAAATGTACCAAAGTAGTAAAAGCTAAAGGTATCATAGCGCAAACAAAAGACAGTATGCAGAAGCTGATTCCAAAAAGAACTAAAGAAAATGAAGCAATCTCCATTCATTTCTATGAAGAAAACATTTGAAAATATAGTTAAATAGTTTGAAAAGTATAAAAGTARCAAACACCCAAATCCACAGCCCCTATCTCCTGAATGAGTTGAATGTTTGGATATATGAATGACTAAAATATGCAGAAGTAGTGAGATTGCCAGTAAGTACAACAATATATTAAAAAAAAATTGAAAAACGACTACGAATGCTGAATCAGAGTTCACATAAACAACTATTTTAAACAACTGAAACATATTTTCCAGCTCTTCATTGAATGCAAATGTAATCAAGATGTGAGCTTAAGTTTAAAGTGAAAAGAAAAAAAAAAGAAAGGGAAAGTAAGAGAAAGGCACAGACACAGGGGGAGGAGCACTACATATATGCCAAGTCTGAAAGGTGGTGATGGATTTTGCAAACGGAGAAGGAAGTCTGGATTCATTCAAGTGAGTGTAATGTAAAGAGTGATCAWATTGCAAGGTTTTCTCCAGAACTTGACCGCTTTTCTAACATCCTGATCTGGATCACAGCTGAAAATAAAATGTTAAATAAGATGCTCTAATCTAAATATGTATGYAAAAATATACAATACAAGGGTATTTTCTTTTGTGTGGTTTTATTTTTGCTCAAGACAATGGACCATGGGCATGCAAGGCTAATTTTCAGATTGCACCATAAAGGTTCAAAAAATAAAAGAAGTCACCAACTGTTTACMGCTTAAGAATCGCCTTCATTCCTGCTGTGTTTTGTATTCCTACACACCTTCAGTGCAGGTACATTTAAAGTTATGTGTAAGSTGGTTTTGCACCATAACTGCTGGTGGAACAAATTGGTAAAAATAGGCCGCTTTTTATTTGGTCATAAAAAAACTGATAATGTTTCCTTTGTGATCTTTAAGATGCAACATATTTTAAAATGAACATACGTATGTCACCAACAAGTAATCTGTACTACTCAGACGGAAAATCTGCAAACAGTGTGTCAAAATAGAAACTTCCAAACAAAACAGGCAAAAATTAATGATTTATATGTATTTCAACTCGTCTGAAACCTGTTTTTTGGAAGGCATAGCGGTATGAATACCTGAAACCCAACTGCCGGCACACCACCTCAGCATCCTGATCGGTCCATCCATCATCACAGACAGTCCCCCACTGACCAGAGAGATGGATCTCAACACGACCTTCCCTGGAGCTTTCCCCTCCCACAAGCCTTATGGGAATACCTACAGAAATCACACACACAGTTTCATTGCATTCAGACGGATTTAAGGAGCCTCTAAATCTTATTTTACAAGTAATCTGAGAGAACGTCACATGGTAATGAAAGCTATTTCAAATATTCTATGAGGAAACTCATTAATTCCCACACAAAGAGGCATTTTAAGGAAAAAAAACTTTTTAATAATGAGAAGAAACTTTGAACTCAATCATTTACAGGATGGGCAACAATCAGCCTGACAGTTCATACAAACAATATTTTTTTACAAAAGGCATGTTTGTGTTACCAGCACATATTTGTATCACAGAGTGTGGAAATGTTCAAAGGAACTTCATGTGCATTCCTAACAAACCTGATCCTCCAGGCTAACATGAGTGGCAGCATGTGCAGGCACATTCTCTGCAAGGGAAGTACACTGGAACACCTGCCTGCCATCTTACAGAAAACCACCTCACAACCCTTCATTTGTGTGTGTGTGTGTGTGTGTGTGTGTGTGTGTGTGTGTGTGTGTGTGTGTG